TGGAGATTAATTCGTAGGATTAAGTTTGGGATCATCTCGTTTATACTTCTCGGTGAGTGCTCATCGGGAGTTGTGATCCTCTCTCTCTCTCTATCTCTCTATTTATATATTCATCCATCTACTATTCTACCCATATATTTGTATGTGTGTGTGTATCAGTGTGTACTTTTTATGGCATACATCCTACTTTAGCGTCGTTTTTTTTATCTTTTATGTTCTGTTAATTCGTAAAAAATGTCCGAATTATGCTAATATGATTATTACGTTTCACTATTGCTATAATTGCTATTTCGTTATTGCATCGGTGTTATTGTTCACTATCTCCTTTTCCTTCCCTTCCCTTCCCCTCCATCTCCCCCTTTCTCCACCACTCTATGATCCACACTTCCTCGATCGCACTTACTCTTTCTTCTCTTTCCCATTCCCTATTTTCCTCCCTACTTCCCCTCACCCTCATCCTCCTTTTTCCTCTTCCCCTTTCCCCAATTCTCTCTCCATATCCCCTCTTCCCCCTCCCTTTCTTTTTTTCTTTCTTCCCTATTTCCTTCCCTGTTTCCTTTTTCCTTGTCTCTTTCTCCCATTCCCCACCCATTCTTCTTTTGCCCCCTCTTATCCCTTCCCAGTTCCCCATTCCCCTCCCCAATCCTGCTCCTCTTTCCCCTCTCTCTTCCCTCTTTCCCACCTTTCCCATTCCCCATTTCTCTCCAGCTTCTCCAAACCCCCATCCTCCTCCATCATCCCAGTTCTCCATTTCCCTCTTCCCCATTCCACTCTCCCCCATTCACCATTCTCTTCTTCCCCCTTCCCCCATTTCCTTCTCTCTTCTTTCTGCCCCTCTCGCCCATTCTCCATTCCCCTCTCCCCCGTTCGCCCATTTTCCTCTTTCCCCTCTTCCTCCCCCATTCGCCCTTTTCCCTCTTTCCCCTCTTCCTCCCCCATTCGTATGAGCGAGAGTCCCAACGTGCGTCGCTAATTGTCGCTCCGGCAAGGATCGCGTAGGAAACACCGCCATTAAAATCCGGGAGCGCGTAGAAAACATGTTTTATGATCTCCACTCCGAGCCTGGTAAACGCCGCCCTTGCTATTGCTACGCCCGGTAAGGTGGGCGCGGAATCTCGTATATCATGCTAAGTGGAAATTACATAGCCGTCTCATCCCCCATTTTTTTTTTTTTACTTCTTTTCTCCTCTTCTCTTATTCCTTCGTCTCTGTTTCTTTTTTTTTCTCTCTCTTTCTCTTTTTCTTTCTTTCGTTCTGTTCTTTGTTATTTTTTGTTCTAGCTTTTCCTTTCTTTTCTCCTCCATCTTTCTTTCCTCTCTTTCTTCTCTCTCTGATTTTTCGTTTCTTTCATTTTCTCTTTTTCTATCTTCCTCTGTTCTTCGCCCTGTCCTCCTTTCTCTCTCATTCCCCGTCTTTTCCTCCCTCCTCTTTCATTCTCCATCCCCTTCACCTTCTCTTCCATTCTCCCTGTGCTCTTTGTCTCCGTCTTCTACACTGCATCTGAAAAAAAGAGAGAGGGATATATGGAGGAAGTGGGGAATAATGGAAGAGGGAGGAGGGATGAAAGAGAGGAAGAGGGTGGGAGAGGAAGGAGGGTTTGGGAAGTGGAACTCTCTCTCTCTCTCTCTCTCTCTTCTCTCTCTCTCTCTCTCTCTCTCCTCTCTCCTCTCTCTCTCTCTCTCTCTCTCTCTCTCTCTCTCTCTCTCTCTTTCTCTCTCTTTCTCTCTCTTTCTCTCTCTCTCTCTCTCTCTCTCTCTCTCTCTCTCTCTCTCTCTCTCTCTCTCTCTCTCTCTCTCTCTCTCTCTCTCTCTCTCTCTCTCTCTCTCTCCCTCTCTCTCTTTCTGTCTGTTTCTCTCATTATATTTACTTAACATAAATAAAAAATAATAAATAAATGAAAAACAATACTAACAATAATAATGATAAGATGGATAAATATATGAAAACAATAATAGCAATTATAATAATAAGATCAATCAATAAATAAAAACAAATAAAAACAATAATGACGATCAAATTAATGAATAGACAAAATGAACGAAAAGTGCCATATTCCCCTGCTCTCAGCCCTCCTGTCTCCCTCTCGTACACCTGCCTTTGCAAGCAAACTCCCCCCCCCCCCCGCCTTCCCCACCACCAGCCATTCATCTCCGCCATCAGCTCAAAATACGTCAAGCTCCCACGTCCACGAGTTGAGATAAGCGGTCTCTTATCTCTCCCCCCCCCCTTGCTCCACCACCTCGGATTTCAGTTGTGTCTCACCTACGGCAACTCCCCTTGGTTCATTAGTTATAATGTCTGTGCTATTAAAGGGCTAGTTTATCTCTCGGCATCTGCTATCTCGTTACCATACGGGTCTCCGCCACTGGTAATTATGTGCTATATCAACACACATAAGTGTCTCTATTAGAGTTATATTGTCGCTCTTTATAACTTAACTACAGTTGTATGTATGCAACCCCCTCCCCCTTCCCCTTTCCCCTATCCTACGTCAGGGGCCCCCTCCACCTCCCCTTCCCCCTCTCCTATATCGTCATACTTTTGCCTCTCCCCCTGTCCTATTTTGCTATCCCTCTCCGCTTCCTCCTCCCTCTATCCTCTATCTCCACCCCCTCCCTTTCCTCTTCCCTCTATCCTATAGTGGTATCCCCCCATCCTTCCCCCCTCCCCTATCCTCTATCTCCCCCCCCTCTCCCCATTTGCCACATCAAGAGATCTTCGCCAACCACGGCGGCGGTCGAGAATTTGCGCCCTCCAGCCGGCGTTAAGATAATTACAGGCAATTAAAAGAAGTTAAATAGATTAGCAGGAGCCATGAAATCTTCGGAGCAAGAAGGGCAGTGCATAAAATTCCTTCTTTTTTTGGACCGGCAGTTGAACAGAACATTTGAAATACGCAAATGTGTCTTATGCCTAAACTGGTAAAGTCGTACAGGTTCTTAAAACTTCTAGAGACACGAAATGAGCCACAATTCAGTTTTTATCGGAACCTTAGTCAGAGAAATCTTCAGCGATATAGCAGACACTATTTCTAAAAAAAGATAAATAAACGTGAATCGAATCGCAACCCCTTTTTAACTCTGCTGAAACGAAATATAAGAGAATTAAGAGAATCAATTGATCCTGTACATTTAACTTTATATACAAATTATTCTCCAGTATTATGCAACTGCTGATATTACCTCCTAATTATGCTCTTTATTCAGACGTATCAAGAGAAAGTACAGAGAGAAAAATCTGGTTGATATAGCAATTTTACGCACGTATACGATTAATTATCATGCGAAATTCACACTCTCACGCGACAGCTAAACATACATCTACGTGTCAACAAGAACAAAGACAATCCTATTTCGATTATCAATCCTTATTTCGAGATGTAACGCGTAAATGAAGTGTTTATTTAGAAAATAGATTGCTGTTATCATCTCAACATCAAAGCAGATGTCAGACCAAATCGAAAATATTCACAAAGACAAGCCACGTGGTTCGGGATGATCTTAATGTGCTGTGTACCACTTTCTTGCCACAGACATTTACTAAATATCCTCGTGAATAATATGTTTGTTATATTTTGGTCTCGTCTAATAATATTCACCTTTATGCGGCTGCTGTAGTATACATCATATCTGTCTTTTATCTAAACCGCATTAATAATTTAAAAAAAATGATAATAGTAATATTGAGGATGATGATGATGATAATAATAATAATAAAATTGATAATAATAATATAATTGATTATTATTGTTGTTATTATTTTTAATGATAATAACTTCTTTACTGCCACCACTCCTACTACTGCTACTTCTCCTGCTGATAATAATGAAACAACTTCGATATATGTATACCTACATATGCATATACATATATATATATATATATATATATATATATATATATATATATATATATATATATATATATATATGTATGTATGTACATATGTATATATATATATATATATATATATATATATATATATATATATATATATATATATATATGTGTATATATATATATATATATATATATATATATATATATATATATATATATATATATGTATATATATATATATATATATATATATATATATATATATATATATTCATATATATATACATATATATTTATATATGTATATAGATATACCTCCCCCTCCCCCGCCCACCCCGAGGGACAGCGGCGCCCCCTCCGCCCGCGTGCCCCGCCGTGTCATCCGTCCGCCTCGCCTCACGGAGCGACCCGCCTTCCCCTCGAATCCCGCGGGTTATCGCTGCGCCGCATCTCCCAGGTTGCGGCCAGTGTGTCTGCAGCAACAGGAGAACAGGCAGAGCGAATCGGGAGGAGGAGAGAGGTGCCCACCCGGGGGACGCGAGCCACGAGGGAGCGAGGCCATAATGACTGCGAGACGAACGGGAGGAGTCGAAGGGCATACTTTTTTTGATGTGGGGGGAGGGGGAGGTGGAAGGTGGGAGGGAGAGGGGAAAGGGGGGGGTGGAGGGGGTTGGTGGTCAGAGGGGTAGAGGTGGATTCCTTGGAGTTCGTAATACCAAAGGCGGGGTATACGATTGGGGAAGTCTTGAAGCCTTTGCAGTAAGCGTTTATATATACACGTGTTCTTAAGTACTATAACGATATGCGGAGGAAAATAAAAAAACGAGAATACTTTCGTTCCAATGTGTAAAAATAATTCGTAGTTTAGTGATTAGTAAATAAACACTATTAAAAAAAAGTTTATATCCCTACATGCATATATATATATATATATATATATATATATATATATATATATATATATATATATATATATATATATATATATATACCTCTGATATTCAAATCAAACAAAAAGACGTTTAATCCTCTCCCCTCCCCCTTTCTCTCTCTCTCTCTTTCTCACTGAACGACAATACAAATCTACAAGTACGCATAAACCTGAACATACATCCCCGGCCCTCCCAAAGTCTAACCGACGCGCCTCCTTGTCCCCCGCAG